TCGATGCTTTTAAACCTTCTTATTCTATGGCACAAGTGTTTAGATGCCAATCTCCATTCTTTACTTGTTACAAGATTCTGGTACTGATTATCTTATGCATTATAAATATTCATGCATCATTATATTTGATATGTCTTGGCAATGTTGAGGCATAATCCATTAGTTATGTTGTTTTACAAAAGAGATGCAAGTACAATATTGCATTGGTAATAATTAGTTAAGAAGACACAGGAGACTACCAGTCCTAGGATCTGAGAAATAGATTAGGCAAGATGAACTCAAGTAAATTTCTTGGTTCAGCATGATAGTAGTGTAACATAAAAAGAAAAACTAATTGCCTGCAACCTAATGGATATGTGTCCGGCATGACAGTGGTCTGAAGTGCCAAGATCAACCCCAATGCTTTTCACTTCATTGACTTCAAGATACATACCCTCACTTGTTAATCCATATGCCTCTCTTCTAAAAGCATGGGTCCAGAATTCACATATAGCAAGCAACTCATTGTTTCATCTCCCTTCTTACTATGCTGAATCCTTTTCCATACATAGGACAGTTGCTTGCTAGCTCATGTGAAGCTGATCCAGCTTGTGGTTTTTGTTATATGACTAGTAGCCGTGCAAAACAATGGGACATAATGGGCTTGACACTCATGACTTAGGCAGTCTATCATGGGATGACCACAGGGAGGACTTGAAAACACATTAGACAATTATTTCCTAGAGTTAACATGCTAAAGTATCAAATTTCAACTTCTGGCCTTATTCAACAGTTCTTCCAAAAACCTATTTTCTTGTACATGCCATATTATTGGATGGCATGAGATTACTCTTGCACATTATAGCTTTGAATTAAAGTGTTTAACATTATCTACCTTGAAATATGAAAATTTTGTGATCAGAAGGTAAATTAGACCTACCTTAAAACAGAGGTTGTAGTCATTACAGCAGACTTGTTATAACTCAATTTGTCACTAATGACTTCTTAAATCAGAATTACAAGCAATAAGATAAGGTCCTTCATGGTAGTCGGTTCCAAAAGTGGAAATGCAAATTGTGACGTGTATGCAGTGATCGCTAGTCACTTGCCTTATGTCAAAAATATAATCAGCGATAATTTCTTCTGTAACATAAATTAATTACTATAAATAATGTATTGTTTTATTATTAACTTTCATGATTATCTACTATAGTTAAAGAAATGATTAAATTTGATTTCCTGAATAAATTAGGAATTATACTAATCAATTAAATTATTAATTGATTTATTTCATAATGAGTGATTTGATTTTTAGGAAGTAAATAGTTTAATTTCTATTTTCGTGTGTGAACCATAAGAAATGAATAATATATTTTTCTCTTTGTGTATAAAAGCAAAATAAAAATAAATAAAAAATAAAATAAAATTATTATTTACCTTTCGAGGAGATCTCATCTTCTGAAGAGATGATCTCGAGAAAATGATAGTCGATGAGAGGTAGGATCCTCTATTATTTTTACCAGCTTTGTTTTATTTTTTGAAATCTTGATATTGGGATTGTTATAATTTTATGATGTATAATAATATTTTAATTTCAAAATTTAATGATTAATAAATAATGATAATTGATTTGTGATGTTAGAATGATTATTTGATTTATATTGATTTCTTAAGCTTAAGTAAATTTTAAGATTTATTTAATTATTAATTTTTTTAGTTTTGGATTAAGAGTTTTGATTTAGTTAATTAGATATATTTTTGTTTCAAGAATCAAGTCTATACTGCTATGATTTAATTAGTTTTAAATTTAAGATCATGAATTTAAATCCTTTAATTCATAGATTTGAGTTATTCTTTAAAATATTGAAATCTAATTTGATAAGGTGAGTCTAATTGGGGTTTGAATTGAGTCGGGTTAATATGTTAAACCGGGTTGACCCAGCCCATGTGGTCATATATGACCCAGCCCATGTGACTAGACATGATCTATAGCCTATGTGGCCAGATAGGAGCCAACCCATATGGCAAGGTATGATCCAACCGATGTGGTCGGGCATGACCCAACCCATGAGCATGACCCAACTCATGTGTCCAAGTACGGTCTAACCCATGTGGTTAGGTACGACCCAACCCATGTGGCCAGGCATGGTCCAACTCATGCGACTAGGTACAATCCAGTCCATGTGGTCAGACACGACTCCAACTCATGTGTTTAGGCCCAACCCGCGAGCCAAGCATGGTCCAGTTCAGTGGTAAGGCTCAGCCCAACTTATGAGTGAGGCTTAGCCTAGTCCATAAAGTTAAGTCTGCCCAGTTATGCGATTGGCGTTAGGCACATCGTCGCTTCTCTTTCTAGTCTGTTGTACCTCAGCTCAACCTATTACTTGGGATAGACATGTGCAATGCATGTGACCCGTCCAAAACTCAAGTGGGTTTGTTCGGTTTGGGCTAGGACCATAAATACTAGTCCGCTGTACTGAAAAAAAATTCCATCCCTTTTTCCCTCATATAATTTCTACTCTCACTTTATATGTATTTGAATATGTTCTATGAATACTGTGTTGCAGATCTATCCATACCTAAGTGTGTTTTATGCACATTCGAGTTCATTCTACCTATAATGGAATAAAAAGCTAGGACGATGATGGACTAGAAGTTTTATATTGGAAAGGACAAGGACAAAAAAGTTATAAACTGGTCCAGTGGAGCCAGAGCTCAGTTATTGTTTTATGGAATTATGCTTTATTGTCAATCTCTATAGGTAAAAAGGCTAGATTTTATATAGATTATGTCATGGGCAATGGACATGTTAGATCAAAGCTCAATGATGAGTACTTTCTTCTGTTTTGTCCGTTAACCGTCTTAAGACTTCAAATTTTAGCTATGTACAGTTTGGCCCAGTTTTGTTGTCAGTTCATGATTCAGTTCACAATATATTTGTCCATATTATATTTTGCCTCGTGATGAAAACCTCTCAGCTGTTATCTATTTCGAAGTTTAGAAGATGATTTTCTCGCAAGAAATCACAACTGTCATTAAGTCTAAGGAGTGCCTTGCTGTTAGAGTGCACAAGGCATCTAAGGGTGTTTATTTGACAGTCACTAATAGCGCATCCATCTTGGGTTTGTTGGAAGGCTCGTCGAGGGATGGAAGTCTGCTGGGAGCCTGAAGGCCTCTGATAGTCAGGTCCTACCTTCAAATGATCGGGCCTTCCTTAATCATGTTCTTAGTGATCTCAGTTCCTTGTGTCCCTTCGCTTTTGTATCAACCGTGTGCCATTTCAGCTTCATGGTGTCTTTTGCTGACATTGCATCTACTCACATTGTCAACACGCCTGTATGCTCTCTTACTGCTGATGTGGTGTTTGTCTGGTTCCTAACTGCCACTCGCATGTTATATTTTGTAATGTCTGTGGTTGCAAAATGGTATCTTTATGTACATCCAAATATTCAGGCATGCTATGACTTCGTATGATGGAATAAGTTTCAGGCATATTAAATACTGTAGTTTAAACTATAGGTCTGCAAAGTGAACCAGATGAAAACAATAAAACACAGGCAAGTATTTTGTAATTTACTCTGGTATCAAGTGCCAGTTGTTACCATCATGTTAGTGGGTATATTTTCTAGCTATAATTCCTTGTACTTGCATTTCATGCGCGTAACCAAATTTCTATTTTTATTTGTTTAAAATGAAATTTCCAGGTCGTGTTTAAGAAAGCATAACCTTTTGGAAGAGATTTGTGTTGCATTTTTGGATATGCACATTTACGTTGTGAAGTTTCTCGTTTGGCTTTCTGATGCAACTTAAATCAACTAACTACTACTAGAATGTCCTCAAAAACTGCTGTGTTCTCAGGTTTCTGTTAAGGAAGCTAAAGATACAGTTTCTCTTTGGTACAAAGAAAGAAAAGAAGTTCTACACTGGCAAGAGGAACGCAAAAAGGAAGCAATCAAAAGCAAATGCGTCAGGACATTGCTTGGACGATCGCGGCATTTTCCTTCGGTGGAAACAGCAAGGAATGCTCAGAGGCGTCACATTGAACGAGCAGCTATTAATACTCCAGTACAGGTATTACTTCACATCAACCGTGGCTTACTGTTCACTATGAAGGACTTGTTCTGGATATCAATTATTGCTTAGGACTGGTTTTGATACTAAATATAATGTAAAATAAAGAACTAGTCTGTCACCTTTGGTCCTTTTGTTCTATTCATTACATTTCATTGGATGCCTCGACAAACTTCTTTTGGGTTTTGCATGAAATAAACTTTCGAATTTTTTTTACATTCTATCTACTGTTGTGAATGTATTTGATGTTTGAGATAAGATTTTATTTAGTTTTTCTAATATTTGAGATTTTGTCACCCTATGAATATTATGTACTTCCAGCCTTTTTGAAGTTAAATTGATATCTCGATTTGTTTCTGTGATGGAATTTTCACGGCTGTAATGTGTTTTTATTTTGGGAAACTAGAGGTAACAAATCTCATGACATGGGCCATTTCTTGCTTTTTGGCAAACACAATCTGTGTTGTGCCTGCTGACCGGCAATACTGTTCCAGCAAGGAATTGGTGTGTCTAGGAACACCAAAAAGCATGAACCATACGTACAATCAGCAATTACAATAGGCGCTCGGGCGAGGCGACGCGAGGCCCGAGCGCCTCGCTTCAAAGAGGCGTCGCCTAGGCGCTCGCCCGAGCTCAGGTGCCGTCCACTTTGAGCGAGCGCCCGGGTTAAACCAAGCGACCGAAGCAGTGTTTTATGTCTGGTTCGGTCTCCGATGCTTTAGTTGGTTCAACGGAACCAACTAAAGTACCAATATCAGCCTCCCAACATCCCTCTTGTGACTTCCCCAACCCTAACCCTGCTCGCGATTCTACCGCTGACATTTCCTCTCTACTGCCACTGCCTCTCTCCGCTGTCATTGCCTCTCTTCGTTGTCGCTGCTCTCCGCTGCTGCTGCCACTGCTACTGCTTGCCATTGCTATTGCTGCTCGCTGCCGCTGTTGTCGTTGCCACTATCGCTGCTCTTGCTGTCGCTTGTATCGTTGCTCGCTACTACCGCTGCTGCTTCTCTCAGTTAGCAGCCTCAGTATTACTCTTACACCGTGCCCCGCTACTGCTACCGCTGTCGCTGCTCGTGACTACCACTATCGCTGCCGCTGCCACTACCGTTGCTGTCGCTGCTTGCCACTATCGTCGCTTTCGCTCCCGCTGCTATTGTCGCTACTCGTTGCTATTGTTAAATCACTGCATACAATTTAAATGTTGAAATGGAGCTATCTTTCTTTTTTTTCCTCCTGTTCTTTGTTTGCACTTGGTTGTTTTGCAGTTGGAACTCTAAACATCATGCTATACTTCATTGTTTTTTTACTTAACATCAACTTGATGGATGGTAAGGGTTGTATTGCTATTATCTGTTATTTAGACAGAAGAATGTTCCTCCTCATTTTATATTTTTATGCTTCTCTGAGTCATTTGATGCTTATAGCTGTCTCATGAAACTTCTACACTTATTCCATCAAACCTATTCAAGATTTTCATTTTCTTTTAATTTAACAGGGAAGTGCAGCAGATGTTGCCATGTGTGCAATGCTCGAGATAGATAGGAATATTCGTCTGAAGGAGCTTGGATGGAAATTGCTATTGCAGGTTAATTTATCATATTGCTAACTTGAGTTTGCAGGAATTCCACCAGCCACTTAATAGTCCTCGAATGAATATCCTAATAACTAGCCAGCTCATCTTAACCCTAGCAGAATTTGTTGTGATTTCTTTTTCCATGACTGTTTTTAAAAGTGATGTTACATTAATTTATCATAAGGTAGAATTATTTAAAAGAAATGAAGGTTAGCATGCTATTTAGCAAGAGGCATGATTTTGTGATCATAAAAAGATTTCCCATGCTTTTGGTGGTTTTAGTGGGTTCTCCATAATAACTGCCAAATTTTACTTGTAGAGGTTAATGTTGATTTTGTCTAAGCTTCTTTTGGTCTTAAGCATTTAGTGGTGCATTGTTTCTCTAAATGATTGTTGAACAGTAATTTTTTTTTGTTTATTGAATTTATTTCTTTCTTCCTAGTGTTCATTTCTGCTGTTAGTCCTACAGTTTTTCTTTCCGTCTTTTTGTTATTTTTTCCCTATTTTGCATCCTTGTTACTTTGTTATTGTACTTTCATAGGGTCTTAAATGATGGTAATTTAAGTCAAACATAGATTTTGATCATATGGAGGCTTGGCTTTTCATTGGTTAGCCGATGATAGACCTTTGCAAAAGATCCTCTTTTACACAAACAAATGGAACTTTGCTTTGAATTCTGAAAAGTTTGTCATGATCATTACTTTATTATGTTCCCTGAGAAGGAAGTAAAGAGTCCTTTTCTGGGGACCTTGGTGTTCGATGCCCTGTTCTTGTCTCTTTTTCAGGATAAATGTGAGATCATCAGTAGCATCTTATGCATTCTTAAGAAAAAAGAAATATCTTGTAATTCAATCTTCAGGGTCAGTACTGATCCTCGATGACCTCATTTAGTTTGAGTTTTTTTATTCAAAGTTTGTCATGACAAGGTTGCCCATATGGTGATCGTATAATATTGTATGAAATTTAGGTCCTTTTGCCCATGTCTCGGTTCTCGCTACGTGATGCTGCGCCACACATCTTTCCTTTCAATTGTTTTAGTTTTCTGTATTAGCATTCTGGGTTCTTGTTGCCCGACCAGATTTCCTCTAAATCAGAGAATTGCTAATGGCATGCTGTGGCTGGATTCAGGTGCATGATGAAGTAATACTGGAAGGACCAACGGAGTCAGCTGAGCTCGCCAAGTCCATTGTTGTCGAGTGCATGTCCAAGCCCTTTTACGGCACGAACTTCCTCAAGGTTGCCCTGGTGGTGGATGCCAAATGCGCACAGAACTGGTATGCAGCCAAGTAACCAACAATTGGGCACCATGTCTTAGATCCTGCATTTTTTTAAGAAAGCCTACCGGGAGGCATAGCCTGCTGGTTTGCTGTGCCGTTGACGGCAACAAGAAGATGGAAAAGAGAGATGTATTATCTGTAAGAGCAATTCCATGTTGTATTGAGCAGTGCCATGTAATGCATGAGCTGCTAAAATGGCCTTTTTTTCGCTGCGTATTTGTTAATTGGGTGGTTTATTGTTCTCATTGTAACGACTGCCATTATTTATGTTCAAAAGAGGTGGCTGCTTACAGCGTTCTGCAGCTTCTAAGATTAAGCTTCTACATGTGCTTCTCATGCAGAGGACTTTGCCAGGTTATTATGCCATGCTTGCCGATAACTTGTTATCGAGTGGCACTAGTGATCGTTTTCATCCTCTCTTTTCATGTGGTGTGTTGAATATGGGTTATGATCACCGCAGGTGCAAACAAGTATGTGGAATTTAGACAATTCCGGTCACCGGGGTTGGCATAAGAATGCGATTTTTTTGGGCGAGTTTACCGCTCTGTTGGTACGCGATAACTGCACTGATACGTTTCCCAACTCGCCATCGTGGTAATATGGGACTACATACATTTTTCGGTCGCCTCGGGGCTAGTGTGCGGCTAGTTGATCGACGAATCTTGATAGGATTACGAGAGCCCAAGAAAGCCTGCATCGATTGACGATAGGAACACACAAAGGTCCCTTCGATTCCCCTGTTCGTTCGCGTTTGTGTAAGTATCTTCTCTCTACTCGCTTCCTGATGTCCATTTGCATTTGATCCAAACCCTAAACTCTGGTGATTTAAGAGTAGTATTGATTGATGCAGGGAGGATATCATCAATCATTCATCATCCGACATATATGTTCAACCTAAAAAAAGAGACAAAAGTTATTCATTAAGGGATTGCCCATGTGGACAATGGACTAAAGTGTACGGTTGCAAGCTATCTCACCCTTGTCACTCACACGGAGAAAAATATAAAGAGATTGTTAAAGATGATTGAGAGATACCTCCTGTAGTGAAAAAAGAGAAGATCATTTTTGACCACTCACCACCATATGCACCTATCTCAAGTTATTAATTTAGGCATCGAATGAACCAAGTCAGAAAATCTCTCAAGGCCTTAGTCTTTATGTAGGTGATACATCGAAAAATCGACATTTTCATTACAAAGGCATTTTGGACAATCCAACGCATAAATCACGTCGAGTTGACATCTTTCTATAACTATTATAATGTTTACTTCTATATATGTGAGAAGCCGAGAGGGTGTTGGCCGAGATACATGAGAATATTCGAGAAAAACAAGTATTAATAATCGAAAGTGTTAGCATTATCAATTGAGAAGAACAAGTATTAATGATAAGTGATGGGTACCATGGAGCCATTGCTGGAGAGATGTGCTATGCATCCCATGGCATACAAGCAAAAGGATAATCGCTCCACGCTGGTGGATGTATTGGTTGAACGACCTTGATGGAGTCGCCTTCTCGGGGCACATTCCACTCTAGGGAGCATTCCAACCATGGCAAAAAATTACCAGAGTACACAAGAGTAGCTAATGATGTAAGTTTAAAAATTATGATTATATTACTATTATACGAAATATTTTAATATCAGAAAATTAAAATCATGATAGATAGATACAAATCTTTCGATTCTACTTAGAAAGCCTTTATCTGATTTGTAAGTATACCGTCGTCGAATCCGAAAGCTACAGTAATGCTGATTTATAAAAATTGCTAAGACTCATATTCTCATCTTTTTCCTTTTTTTACAAAACTATTATAAACGATGGATTACACATAAAGGGGATATGAGAGAAAATATATAATCTCTTAATGGCTGATTCATAAGACTAAAAAGAAGATGAGAGAAGATCTGTAATCTCTCAATGTTATCACATATACATATTGATTCTCTATGAGTCTATGATAAATAATTAGTAAAGTCATATACTTTACTAAAGTCTATGATAAATAATAATAAACTAAACTATGGTATTATTATGTGAGATACTTGAATGCTAGAAAACTGGAATCAAATAACGATATATCAAAATTTACTATGTGTATCTTTCGATGCTACTCAGAAAATATTTATCTAATCTATGAATATACTGTTATCGGATCTAAAAGCTATAGTGATACTGATATGTAAAAAAAGCTAGATTTGTCTTCTCCTCTCTTTCTATCATTCATAGAAATATGAGAAAAGATTTATAACATGTATCTTTATAGTAAGAGCAGATGACATAAATAAGTAATTAAAAGAATCTTTCGTATCTCTTAAAGAATCATATCATAATTAATTTTTTTTTATTAATTAATAATTAAAATTAAAATATAATCATATTTATTATATATCTTATCGAATTAAATAAAATCAAATAATACAGATCTACTTCTTATCCGTCATGCAGAACGAGCAACCCCACATCGTCCACATCTCAGCTTGACAGTGGAGTGGAAATGAGTGGAGCAGCAGTGCCTCCCACCACCACGACGACGACGTAGGCGTTCAAGTGGCACAGCATTTACATGATGTGCAGGGATTTCAGGCCACCACATGAAGTGACTGAGGATTGAAGAGGAAGAGATTCCACTGGTGGTGGTGGCTCACAAATATAGGCAACTTCCTCGAAGGTTCGCGGTCTGAAAACAACAGCTTCGCTATAACTTCCTTGAAGGTTCGCGGTCTGAAAACAACAGCTACGCTATTAATTCCCTCTCTCTCTCTCTCTCTCTTGGATGAAAACTTCACGTAGGGTTAACGTGGGATAAGATTTATCCTGGACATCGACAGTAGTCTTTGTCGAATTCAAGCATGTTGTCTTAGTGCTGAAGTTGACATGATCTCGTCACAGAAATTGAAACCACAACTTCGATTTACCGCTCTTGCAAATGTGGTTTCCAGATGAACAGTAGCTGATTATATTAGAACATTTAGCACAGTGAATTAATCCACACAGAAGAAGCAACAACTTGCTTCCATCCTTCTTCAACGAAAAGCTATGTCTGAAGGAGCATGATGTTGCAATTGCATATATAAAACAATGATTTCTATGCACATCACCCTCAGGATTAAGAATTCGTATTGCACTCATCGAAGTTCAACTTGTAGCTCGTTGAATCGTATCTAAACACCGGCTTTCTTCTCCTGTTCCTGCTGCAACGCCTGATCTTGCTCAACAAAGCCCTCCATCTCAACCTTGGTGTGATCTTTGACAAGAACCTTCTCGCTCGCCTGACTCCTTCCTGCCAACAGTTCGCTCCCTCATCACCGTCTTCATGCCGCAGAGACCTGTAACCGGTCCCACTCTTTGGCTTCCCTAGCGGGCATCGAAAGCACAACAAGGGAAGGCAAGGAGTCTCTGGTCCGAACTCCTCGTCGTAGCCTCGGTAAGCAGCCATGAGAGAGAAGGATAGATGAAGAAGAAGAGTTGATCGATGAGGGATTGATGAGCCATTGGAGGGTATTTAAAAGGAGGAAGTCGGGAGGAAGGGAGAAGGTGGTGGGAAATGCTTCCTTGCATCCGCGTACAGGCTGCGTGTTAGCCAATGATGCTTTGGCCACTTCATACGATTCTTCTCCCCGCGAGAACTCTCACGGAAGCAACGCTTCGTGAACGCTGACAACGTCGTCGGGACTCCCGACAGTTATAGGTTTGGTCAAAATAATTGACATGCTAAAAAGATTTGATCAAATGTTTCTACATAATGGTCTGTGGCTGTAACATAATTAGATCCCAATGTGTCATATACGATTGGATACTGATTAATTAATTTAAATTATATATAAATGATATAAGAAAGTCTTTTATCCAAGACTAAGTCTTTTAATTAATTAATTAATTTAGTTTATATATATATATATATATATATACCCACATTTTTATCCAAGCGAAACAAAAAATGTCTTTCCAGAAATGCCCTCAATTGAATACAACATTAGGCGGGGAATTGAAGCATATTTTCGAATATTTCGGTAATTTCGAGGCATTGAGTCTCCGAACTCGAACGCCATAACCGTCTATGCTACCCGCGTACTCTTCGTTCTTCCTGTCACGCCTCAGCTCCGTTTTCTCCTCCCTCCTTCTCTTTCTTCATCGATCGATTCGGTATAGTGCCGAAGAGAAGCGCGCAGAGGTCAGATCTGTAAGCTCCTGATCCTTTCCTCTTCGATTTTTTTTTTCACTGATTTTTCTCGAATTTTGGTGAATTTTTCCCTTCAAAATCGATGCGCATTTGTGGGTCTGACGCCCAATTCCGCCCCCCACCACTCCTACCCCGAAAGACCGACATATTCTCTTCTTGGTCTGCTTTCAATCTTGATTTTGTTCGGATCTGCAAGAGAAGCCCCGTCTCCGGTGGGGTTCGCTCCCGGATCGGGCGCCAAGATGGGATCCTTCCACGGATTTGGCCTCTGGTTTCTGGTCTCTTGCCTTTCCATCCGATCCGGCGGTGGGTTTTCCACGAGTATCAGATAGGAGATGTCCTCTCGGATGAAGGTGAACTCCCTCAACCATCGAGACCGAGATGCCCTTTGGTTACTATAGCATCCCTTTCTGGTGGCCACCGGAGGGCATCAAGGATAGCGCCGAGAACCTCCGCTAGCTCCTCATGGGCGACCCCATCGAGAATTCGCCCTACCGATTCAAGATGTGCACCAACGAGTCCGACATCTTGCTCTGCCGAACCGACCACTTATCGGCCCAGGACTTCAACCTCCTCGAGAAGCAGACCGACGAGGTGTACCGGGTCAATGTGATCACCGACCAACCTGGGTCAAGTTGTACACCAACTTGGCCAGTGATGGGCAAGTACGAGGACACCAGCGTGACGAGGGTGGTGGGCACCACTGGAGATGCCGCCGATGTGATCCGGACGACGGACAAGGCCAGATGGGGCAAGCCCGGGTGGATGGTGGTCGGATTCGAGGTGGTGCTGTGCAGCGCTGTACAACGCCTAGCCGGTCGAGGATCTGAAGATGTATGATAAGTACCCGGCGAAGATCCAGTGCGATCCTACGATCGTGGCCATGAAGCTGAACGAGATCCAACCTATAGAGTCTACACCTATGAGGGCGCGTTCATCGCGAGCGGTATCAAGTGGCCATCACGTTGGGATGCTTACTTGAATATGGAAGGGGCAAAGGTTCACTGGTTCTCGATTCTCAATTCTCTAATGGTGATTGCTTTCTTGACCAGCATTGCTCTTGTGATCTTATTGAGAACCGTCAAAAGAGATCTCACCCAGTTCGAAGAGCTGGATAAGGAGTCGCATGCGCAAATGAATGAGGAGCTCTCAGGATTGGAACTTGTTGTCGGGGACGTATTCAGGGCTCCAATCCACCCATTGCTGTTCTGTGTCACGGTAGGTGATGGGATGCAGATACTTGGTATGGCAGTTGTGACCATCGTATTTGGGGTTCTTGGATTCATGACCCCTGCATCCGGTGGAACCCTGGTCACATGAATGCTGTTCTTCTACTTGATTTTCTGAATTGCAGTAGGGTACGTCGCTGTTAGGATATGGAAAACGATCAAATTAGAGATCACTCTGGCCGGGTTTCAGTCTCCTGGTGTGTTGCTTGTTTTCTCCCTGGTATTGCCTTCCTGATCTTGACAACATTGAATTCCCTGTTGTGGGGTAGCCACAGCACTGGATCAATCCCATTCTCCTTGTTCATTGTGTTTCTGTTGCTCTGTTCTTCATCTCAGTTCCACTTACTCTTACTGGCGGTTTCCTTGGTGCCAAGGTACCTCACGTCGAGTATCCTGTCCGAACAAATCAAATAACTTGTGAGATCCCTCCATAAAATCACCCACCGTGGTTGCCGGTAATTGGCGCAGGGACTTTAACCTTTGGTGCTCTGTTCATTGAGCTTAAGAAGAAGGTCTAGCACTTGGATGGGCCGAGTCTATTATGTTTTTGGCTTTCTCTTAATCATCGTGTTGGTTCTCCTTGTTGTCATATGTGCTGAGGTTTCTCTGGTCCTTGCTTGCATGCACCTATGTGTGGAAGATTGGAAATGGTAGTGGAAATCCTTCTTCTCTTCTGGATCAGTGGCTATATACATCTTCCTGCAGTCGGTACTTAGGTTTCTCTGGTCCTTCCTTACATGGATCTACGTGGGTAAGAGTGGAAATGGTGGTGGAAATCCTTCTTCTCTTCAGGATCAGTCGCTATATACCTCTTCTTATACTCCGTGAATTCTGTTTTTGATTTTACAAGTTTAAACGGCCCTATCTCTGCTACCCTCTTCCTTGGTTACTCATTGTTCATGGTCATTGCTATCATGCTTGCCAAAGTATAAACGGCCCTATCTCTGCTACCCTCTTTCTTGGCTACTCATTGTTCATGGTCATTGCTATCATGCTTGCCACTGGTACAGTTGGATTCATTTTTCATTACATCTTCTCATCTGTCAAACTGGATTAAACTACTTCTGCAACGAGAGTTTCTTAGTGAAGATGGCCGTAATTGAAGTTATTGATGCAACTGGAACAAATACGAAGAACATAGGATCTAGTTGGTATATTGGTGTTATCTTCATTTGGCAGCTTGGAAAATCTATATGGCACTTGGTATTTCTTTTGTGCTCTTGTTATTATTTATTGGCCATAGATCTAGATATACCAGTTTGTTACCTGCATTCTGAGACTCTTCAGTGTGCCAGAGAATGTATAGATTGAACTATCAATATCCTCTCTCTCTCTCTCTCTCTCTCTCTCTCTCTCTTAAGTTGTAAGCAATAGTCAATCAGTTCACGTCGTTTTCAACAATGAATACTATTTTGTTGCATCTAGAATTTCCAAGCTTCTTTACGTTCCTCCTGTCATACAAATATTTGAACTGTGTAACAGCTGATCTTTGAAACTTCTTTTACATTTCATTTATTCTGCTACATAATTGTTGTGCTTCGTAGTTGGTTTTCTTGTGAAGTTTGTTTAGGGTGATGATCTGGAGAAGCTTGTTTGCTGCACATACCAAACGTTTCTCTCAGCCTCCGGAGTCTAATATTTTAATTGGTAGAATTAAACCATGAGAGAAGCATTTGTGCTGTGCATGATGGATCTTAAAATCTTTAATGTTCTGCTTTATTATTTCTTCGAGGATTTTAAGTGGGCTTTCAACTAAATCAACTTGTTGAAGATTAGATATTCTTTGACTCTAGATAGTGGTGCAAGATTAGAAAGTGAAGAAATTTGGCATACTTACTGTGCTGAAAGTGACTATACATTTATCTTATTGAAATAGAATTATGCTTGTATTCCAAACTAACCACGGATCCGGGCTGCACAAAAATTCATTTGAAAGGAATTTCACATGATTAGTGAAGAAGTATGTTGTGTGATTGTTGTACTGAACTCTAAGAAGTTTGATGGAATTATAATTATATTCCAAAGTAGCTAGTGATATGGGTTGCAAAAGAATGTCTTTGCGAACAATTTTACATGATTAGTCTAGAAGCATGTTGTATGATTGTTGTGCCAAACTCTAAGAAGTTTTGTTGTGTGATTATTGTTCAAGAAACTTTGTATATTCAAACTTGTCACCATATTTGATATTCTAGTAAGGATACTCGAAAGATGTACAACCATGATGTATGATTAATGGAGGTTATTTTTGATGCAATGTATGGAGTTCAAATTTTGTCTCAGTGTGGCTCATATTTAAGTAATCTTGGTGGAGAAATGGTTAGTTTATTTTCCACAACAGCCTAGTTATTATGTATCAATCAATCCATAACCTGATTTAGTTATATCAGCGGTGTATGTTGCTGAACCTGATCCAGTGCCTGCAACCGCAAGTGCCATGCTTCATGACATAGGTTGCAATTTCCAGATTACATGTTGCTAATGATGAGAAGTGTAGATTGATAGACTTCTGCAACTTAATATGAACTCCCATTCCTGGAACCCTCAGAAAGTTTAAGAAGATCAATTTTTGTCTAGTAGAAACTGATCATTTTTTTAGTATTGCAAGAAGAAAAGAAACTGATCTCTACCAGCACTACAATTACGATGGCTTTTCCCCATCCAGGAAATAACTGTATATCATATTGCCAAAACATACATCAGTGGTAAGTGCATTTTCTATTCTCTCTAACACAAGATTTTTGGATCATTATTCTTGCAGAAGTAAATTTTTGGGTTGTTCTCTGTTGCCAATGACAGTTGCACAGGTTTGTCCCACTCAATCCATTCATTCAGATCATGCAGTGATTTTGGTTAATGTCACATTAAAAGACTGCAGGCTGAGGTTTTGCTCTTGCAGATAGCGGCGATTTGTATGTCTGTGTCTTAATTGTTCGTATGGACTAGGGACAGAAGCTTCATCACTCATTGAAGTCTCCGCGGGTGTCGTCAGGTGCAATAGATCAAATATCTGAGATATTTGCTGTTCTTTTTTGCTGTCTTCTTCTTGACTTTATGCGTGTCAGTCCAAAATCTGCTGAAGTATGTTCATATATATTATGTATACATATAGTCATATATAATGTGTGTTCATATATTACAAATATACATAAAGTATGTTCATAACTCACTCAAGAATATTTTCTTTGATTGATCCTTCTCTCATTCCTTCTAGATTCTGCTTCAAGAGAAAACTGGACATCACTTTAAACACTTAGATAGCTGGTATCAAGGTTCCTGATTAGATGAGGGCAAGGGTACTGATAGAATAACCTTCAGATAGATTCTTTCTTTCATCTCAGACTCCCTATGGTGTCTGTGGCTTAACAAAAATGAAGCTAGATTTTGCAATCGTCGGACCGAACCTCCAACTTTAGTCTATATGAATGGAACTCTTCATGCCAATCCTAACATTGATTGCATTCTAAAATGTGATGATTTTTTCACTTATCTTGATCTCTCTGGAGGTGTTGGATACATCTTCAAAACAACTAGCAACACTGTCTTTGTTGTTGGTTGCTCCTTTTGTAAAGCTTGCAACCCTATGATGACAGAAGCCTTTGCCCTTCTAGAGACCATTGAACAAGAGGAGAGGGAAAGCTGGATGAATATATATGGGTCTGACTTGATGCATTGACCAGTATCAATTATGTAAAGGGATCTGCATTAATGCCATGGCATTTGAATGCTATTGTAGCTTATATTAGAGTTGTGTTTGTCATTTCATTCATATTTGTCACCTACATAGGAATCCTAATAATAGCGGGTCATGACCAGGCAATGTTTGGAAGAACCACTGGTTTCTCATCTTTTTGTAAAGCTGATGGGATAGGCTCGTCGTCTCATCTTTTCTTGACCTGAATGAAAGTTTCTTCGTTTTGAAAAAAGATACGACCTTTCTGCACTAGGAAAGCGATGCCAGTGCGGTAGCGTATGGTCACAATTACTCCGTGATGAGGACGGTGGCAGTGATGACGACGGAGATTTATACTGCGAGAGCAACAGGCATTTGATGGTGCTAAAAGCGTCGTTTATTTGAGTCATCAATGTGTCATTCCTTCGTGACGTTTGTGTGGTTGAAAGATAGACGTCGTCTGCATCTTGATGTTCATTAACTTCCTAATGAGCTTTCATTTGTTCCTTCAGGACTTGTTTGATGGCTATCACTTGGAAGCAAGGACAACTCTCCGCAACATAATACGAGACATATCAAGCCCCTACCACTGCCTTCTGTAAGCACCGAGAGGGAAGAGGTACATCATTTATTCTCATGATACCTGCAAACTATTCTGTTCATTCTGTTGTTCTGATCATTATACTCACAAACCTACCTCGTTCTTCTCTCGTCTCGAAGGTGTAAGTGGGGAAGGGAATTGACCAGATGCAGGCAGCGGTTCCGGTTTTTGATCACGTCCTTTATGCTTTCTATCAGGCCATCTTTTTTTTTAGCTGACGTTATCTCTCCCCCTCTCTCTCTCTCTCCTCCAGGTATAAAACAGAAAGGACGAGTCCAATGGGATGATGCAGTGGGCAGAGAGTGAGAGAGAGAGCGAACCACCGTGAGAGGTCATGCTTATCTCATCTGACGAATGCGTAGAGATATAGGGTGAGTCTGACCCACCCTTCTCTTTATGAATCATATTTTGTTAAACAGAGAAATTGGAGGTGGCTGGGAAGAGTGACAGCCATGGAGAGAGTGACCGTCAGGGTCAGAGTCTTCTAGGATACTTCTATATACCGACTTGTGTTGTTCCAGTGCGAGCTGCATCTATTACACAGAGAGAGAGAGAGAGAGAGAGAGAGAGAGAGAGTGGCAGGGAGGTGG